ACCAACGATTTAGTTAAGAAGTAACTACCACTCTGTCTAGAAACTGTAATTTCAGAATGGTTTATATCACTTTAATCTCAAATTATTTCTGATAGATTAAGCCAAATGAGTATTAGCCTGATTTAAACCAACATAAGAGAGTGTGTGTTGCTTGTTGTACCTATTTGTTCAACTCAGCTCTTCACTTACACAAGTTCAGCTGCTATTTATTTATTTTAAATACAGACATGACCTTACTGAGGTAGCTGGTTATGTCTTTTTTGGAGAGCTGACTTGCAGTTGAAGTCCAGCATGTTAGCCTTGTTTTTGTCTGAGCACAGCAGCTAGGTCAGTCATGAAAGCCTTATGACAGCTCAATTTAAGGTTCATAAATACTCGTAGCACCACTGGTGCAGAAAGCCCCAGGGAAGCCCAGATAGGCTCTCCGAGAGGGATGCCTCATGGTGGCTGGGAAACCACATGCAAATGCTGTTCGTTGTGCCCATGGATGTATTAAAAAAAAAAAAAAAAAAAAAAAAAAAAAAAAAAAAAAAAAAAAAAAAAAAGTAGGCTAATCCAATCCATCATATACAGAATAAAAAATAGTTTTCAGAAACTACAAGCAAAAAAATGATCAAGTCAAACATCCACAGAGTACTTCTTTGAATGAGTTTCTTAGCAGAAGTCGAGTTTGCAAAACAAATTTTCAAGGAAAAAAAAAAGCCTAAATTAATCTAGCACGGTTAGTCTGTTCAGTTCCGTTGCTCAGCAAAAGTGAGTTTCATTTCAGTTTTAATGATACATTTGGGGAGCCTGAGATTATACCAGGTGGTCAAAGCGATCACTTCTAAGGCCATGGAAACTGGTCAAATCCTGAGCAGCAGCTATTTCACTGCACTTTCCTGGGAAAGCAGCCAAGCTGGTAATAAAACATGTCTATTTTCAACACAACTGCATTTGTATATTCTTTTGAAATGCTGTTTCACCTTGTGTTGGAATAGGACTTTTAGTGGGGCAATTACTTAACTGAACCACGTATTGATTTGTGTCACATAATGAAGCAGATCATCCCAACATGACCAGCCTCTAAAAGAAACTGGCTTCAATACGGCAGCAGCAAGCATGGGGAAACCTTAGATCCGGTTGCCAGATGCAGTTGGGATGTAAATATTTTATCACCTTGAGTACAGATCCTCAGAAACACCTCAGGTGCTAACACTGCCCTGAGCAGGTCTTGGTTACTACAGCCCTGATAAAAATACCTTATGTGCACACACTAGGCAGAGAACCTGGAGCATCTCTTGATCCACATTTACTGGTGCTCACAGTTCAATTGGTGCCTAAATGCATCCAGGATGGAGCCTTCTGGTGTGGGTTCTCCACATTTGCCTCTTCGGGGCTTGCATTCATTTTTTATTTGTCTGGGAGGAGGGCTTGTGCAAACAAACTACCACTCACGTCGGAAGCTGCTGTGGTGGGAGAGGGGAAGAAGCCACCTGAAACCATTTCCCCAGCCTCTCCTGCTTTCCTAAGAGCAGCCCAAACCAGAAGCATTTGGCCTGCTAAATATCCACAAGCCTCTGTGCGGTTTTGTAACCATGAAAGAATGCTAACAACATTGTGAATTCAAACATGCAGAGAGAAGTGCCAAATTTTAACCTGACTAGGCAAAATTAATATGCATAAAAACTTTAATTACCCAATGAAGTATAATTTTTTCACAGAACCCCCTGCCTTTTTTCCATGCAAGAGCTCCACAGTGTTCAGTGAAAAGGCAGCTGGTCTATTTTCTCTCTGTAGCCTCTGTATTATAGCCTGAATGAAAGGCTATTACAGAACAATTATTTACTGCTGGCTTTCCTACAACGGTCGCCATTAACATATTGGAGCACTCTACATCATCGCTGGGAGGTGAGAGGCCTTTTGTATGTGTATATTAAAAAAAAATTGTAAATACATATGAATATATAAATGCTAAGTATATAATTCTACTACTATATGTATTAATAATGTATGACTGTGTTACCTACAGATATTTTTATGGGTATGGTTTAATTTAATACCATGCATAATTAATATAATTTAATTACAAGGCAGGGAATTAAGGTGTTCCCTGGCATTCAGTTCACCACATTTGGGATGTCCTTATTCAGAATATTTAGCATTATAAAGCATGTCTTGGTCTAAGTGTGGCTCTGGCTGATGAAATGTATGCTTAGTGGTCAGCAGCTCTACACCCAAGGCAGAGGGAGTGCACAGCTTATGAGGTTTTCCTTAAACGCTGCATTTAACTGTACTCAGGAATTCTCCAGGCAGAAGAAAATCCCTGTTCTCCAGAGCAATACGAGTTGGACCTTCTCAACTACCAGGTGATGCTCTGTGTAACCCAGGCCTCTTTTCTAGCACCGTGACACCCTGCCGTACCTTTGGAGTTATCTATGAATGTTACATGTTTTGCTTACTTGGATGACCCAAGACTTGTGGTCAGAAACACTGCAAACACTATATCCTAATACAATTTCCCAGTCCTTGGTGGGCTTTCCAAAACAATTTTCCCTGGAAATGATTCTCCCTTAGCCTTCTGAAGGAAGAGGAAGTGGTTTGAGAGAAACATTATGTGGGGATGATGAGCATTTTTTTTAAATACCAATTAAAATGAGCATTGCAATTATTATGATCATCATCATTATTACTATTATCCAACTCAGGATATTCTATCATTCCATTATTATTGTTGTTATTATTGTTATTATCGTTATTATGATTTGGGTTGTGGGGGGAGATCCTAGAGAAACAGTGCTCCCAGGAAGATCAGATAAAAAGCCTGTAGAGCTCCCATGGAAAACCTGGTAGAACTGAGCTGATACAGGACTGTGTGAGTTATTCAGCTGAAGAGCTTTATTTATGAGGAACCTGTTGCCTCACAAACTATTTAAAGTTGGTTTGTGTTCATCACCTTCGGCCTCCCTATTAACATAAAGGAATGATTTTGGACTTTAAGGAGGAGCAATAGCAGAAATGTGTCTATACAGTTACTGGATGTCTCCTGCTCTGAATGAGCTGTTTTCAAGCTTTCACTGTTGGATCTGTGCATGCCCTACAAACAGCCTCTCATGGCTCTGCAGGCTTCCCCTTGCCTCCTGCTCCTCTTTTTTCTCCAAAGGGCAGGCCTGGTAGCCTTGAACATCTTTAGTCCATGGAAGGACCTAAGTGTTGTTGTTTGTGAATCAAAAAGTACTGCTTGCTTGCCTCTTCGTGGTGGATGGGCGGTGTGGTAACAACGCAGGCAAGCAGTGCTGGCTACGCTGAGGTGACAACTCTTGGAACAGCAGGTGGGTTGTTAGTTTGAGTTTGTACTCATCTGAACAGATTACATTTTGGTAGACTGGATACTCTACATTTTAACAAGGGTCCCTGATGGCCAGCCTGTTTATTTGACTCTCTTCGTTTCAAGACATTGTCAAAGGCATTTTCCCCAATCTCAGATCAAGTCTTTCATAACTCTGCATCCAAAGGCATTGCTGGATAAAAAGCTCCAAAAGAGCATCCTGGGACATAGCAGACCCCATTCAGGCTATCAGCTCATTTGTTTCTAGCATAAATAAGAACAAGATAAGTTTGTCTTGTAAAAACTTAATGTACATGTTACCAAAGGAAGAGATAGCTACTGGACATGGTGGCAATAGGGTACGTTATCCATTCAATAAGCTCTTTTTTTCATATTACTTCTAATCTGTTTATTTTCTTTTCTCCACACCATGTTCTGTGGGATATATACTGCAGCTACATTACATCAGAGCAACTGATAACAACTGATAACTGAGGGGCTGGGGGCTTGGGTTGAGGTTTTGCTTGTTGGTTTTTTTTTTGTTTGTTTTTTTTGTAACAGTAACTTTTGCCTCCTAATGACTGCAGTGACATATTACTGGGTATTCATTGTCTAAATTAAAAAGAAGCTTAAAACATTTCAATATCTATACCATCGCCTCTAAGAAAGTAAGTCAATGTATTTGCATATGCTGTACAAACCAATTACTCTGTGCTCAGCAAGGTGTGAAGAGGTGCTGAAAAAGGTTACTTGAAACAAGTAGAAAAGCCAGCCCTGAGAAACTTTGGAGATACTGAAGAAGGCCCATGCTGAATCCCATTTTTTTGAGTAATATACTCCTTGGTGGACCACAGCAAACCTTTATGACTGCTTTTAACTCTTGTCTGCACAATACCCAGAAACGGCTGGGTCAAAAAGCCAGTATTGGTTTAGATCAGAGGCACGACAGCACTGTCAATGCATTTTCTTCCCCCCTCATTGCCTCCACTACCTCTTGTCCACTCTCCTCTCTGCCCGGGGATTACCTCTGCTGGTTGTTATCTCTAATAATGTTAGCTTAGCACTTTTCATTAGTGACTGGGAATTCGGAGGTTTAATTGCACAATTTACTGTACAGAGAGTCTGCAGAACTGTCAATCCAGCTCAGCTTGCCTGGAGAGGACTGCTGGCTGCCTCTTCGGCCGCTGTCTCTGCTGAATACACTCTCCTGGTGAGTAATTAACTAAGTAATGAACAGCCTCTCTAAATGACCCAGATGGCTGCACTGGTTTGTAACTCTACCTGTGATGATTTAAAAGGAGGAAAAGTGAGGATAATTCCCGTTTCTTGCAGATCTTTTGCCCTACTTTACAGCTGGCACCCCTGAGCAGCTCTGCTGCTGCTGGTGGTCGTTGGGTCTGGCCACAGCAGGCTCAGAAGCAGCGTGAGGGGACAGGCGGGGACCTTCCTGAGCATCCAAAAAACTGCCCAGGCTCCTTTCTTTGGGGCTTTGAAGAAACACGGACACCTGTCAGAGGGTGTCACCTCTGCGTTTCACCCAACGAGATGTCATTTGGAGCTGCCAAGCTCGTGCCAGGGACCTCTCTCTCCTCCTCCACCACCTGGTAGCTGTGCCCCTGCCCCTCCCTGCTCCCCTGCACCGAGGAGTGGCAGGCGGCTTCCCCACTGCTCTCTGAAGAATAAGGTCACCAGATAAGTTCAACAGCTTGTGCCTCTTTTAATGGAAACACCATGTATTTATACACATTTACACAGTGAAGTACAAAGGGTTAGAAAACAGGCTTCATTTTCAGCCCCTGTATCTAACACACCGTATGGTAATCCCTGAGAGCACCTGGCAAGTGCGTGTCCCCTGCAAGTGGTCCTGAGAGTGCAAATTCCCCTGCAGCACAGGTTGCTTTCTGACACTGAATCCGAATGCTAACTCTTAAGTACACTGGGCTGGCAGTAAGCAGAAATTAGTAGTTAAACCACTCAACACGGTGTACCACATCAAAATCCATCCTGACATCTCTGCCACCGATGGCTAAAAGGGCATCTTCTTACCCTCCAGAGAAATGACTTCAGCTTCTACCTTATATTCCAGTCACAGAAAACCCATTACAACATTAGTGCCTGTGAATTGCACAGACCTGATGCAGTTGCAGACCAAAATCCTCTTTATATTCATAGTGCTGGAGAGGTTGATTAGCAGGATGCTTATTCCATCAGCCCTGGGCTGGAGGGCTATCTGGTAAAGCAGACTAGCCTGCACAGCTATTCCAGCAAGATGTACAAAGAACAGGGTCTGTGGAAAATCCTTGTTTCACGAGTCTGCTGTAACCTCTGTGGAGACCTGACCCCAGCCCTGCTAGCTGGCAACACCTGCCTGGGCACCAGTTTGCAATCGATTGAATTTTTTTCTGCCATGACACGTACAGTTTCTTTACACGTTCATTGAGACTCTGGCCAGCCTTTGTGCTGTGGGAGTGAAGGGTGTAAATGTCTTCTCTTATTTAATTGTTGGAAGAAGCTGGTCAGAGCAGCAGCTGTGGTCAGCCTGGGCTCCAGCAGAGCAACCCCATGAGAAGAGCACACCACGGCCCATTTCTTATCAAACAGGAGCAAAGCCTGAGCAAAAATATGGCCATTTACTGTAGCATCTGCTTTTTGCTTTTGAACTCCACCGTTATGAATGTGCTTTATTTATTTATTTATTTTAAACTAAGCAGCAAGTTTAGACGATGTGTTTCCATAAGCACAGTGTGCTGTTCTGGCCAACCCAACAATTTAGATCACATCTGGGTATGGGGGAATGGCTTTCACAGTCTTGAGGACAGTGTGTCCCCACATATCCAGTGGGCTTCAGGGTCTGGGACAGGATGTCTGATGTGGCAGTCTTTTACTGTGGACCATCATGGTCCATTCCTGCTTTACCTTCAGTGCCAAGAAGTGTTTTCTTCCAGTGTTGAGAAAGGGGAGTAGTGTCCTGCCCTCTGTGGGCACCCAGGTGCATAATATCAAAGCTCACAATGAATCCGGCCATGGTTTCCAAACATCAGTGGCTGAGCTGCCTGATACTGACTGGATTTTCATAGCATATGGCTAGACTTGATAGCTCGGAAAATTGCTTGAATTTCCAGAAGTTGCATCATTATTCTGTCCTGGCTATAATGCAAAAAGGTCCTAAAGTAGACACTCACAATAAGCCTAGTGGTTTTGTTTTATTTTTTAAATAGGAATTTAAATATAAAGAAAAAAAAAGCCCACCTGTGGTTCACCATCTCCCTCATTTCACAGTTAAATGCAAAGACAAAGAAATCCCTGAGACTGAAGAGGAGACAACAGATGGTGGATTCAGGGAAACTTAATGGGGGAGGCAAATGTTAGGTGACTGTGGCATACAAAAATTAGTTCAGCTTCTCTGTTGCTCCGAAGAAATCAGTCCTTGCCCCTGATTTATATCTGCAGAGGATGCAAATACCTCAACTATAGAAATATTTCACATACAGCCCTTTTTTATACTCAACAAAACAATATCATTAAGAATTGTATCCATACAGACCACATAGGGCTGTACAGTTTAATACCTAGACTGTCTTAAACTTTGATTACTGTATTAATATAATATAAAGTGCTTGGTATATTCAAAACAATTATAGGATTGGATTTTCACTGCCCACTGAGACTCTGTGGTGTATTTTAAACTCTTCCTTATTACTATAAAACTTTAAAATATGTCTACCTATATAAGGAGAGGAAAAACATCTAATGTCAAAAGCACAACTCCTTAATTTTGACCATTGCAAAACGAACAAATGCAAAATATGATCCTTTCACACATGTTGTTTTTCAAGCTGCTCCTCTGTCATTCACCTGGAACTGGAAAAAAGGAAACCATAAAAGGACGGCACCTCTTAAGCTTCCTATCAGGAGCAGACAGGTAAACTTTTCTGTCTCCCACCCCAAAGTACCTTCACGTCCATGATCAGACACGCCGGGGCATAGCCCTTGCCCTGTTTATGCACTGTAAAGGCCATCGCTCAGTATTCCAGCTCCAGCAACAGCAGGCATGCATGATGGCACGCAGTCTGCTATCTTGCTCAGATAACAAGACTAATGGCTCTCAAACCTTCCTCACTGCCGTTAAATCAGGTCCTGGATCTGGCAGGAGACACCTGCCTCTGTTTTTGAGCCTCTTCGGCTCTTTTCTTCTCCAGTTCCTCTGCCTTCTTCCGCTCCTCTTTTAGCTCCTTGTACCTCCATTTAGGAATCTGCAAATAGGGGTCGTCTTTAGCACTGCTCCTCCTTCTTGCCTTTTCTGGCTGGAAGGTGGGCGGAGGAGCCTTGCTGATACGGACTTTGGGGATGACAAATCCTGGTCTCACGCTGCTCCGTCTGAGCAGGTGGAGCGGCAAGAGGCTTGTTTTCCTGGTGGCTATAGTGTTCACTTGAGACACTGCAAGGCTTACAGGCTGCAGACTGGCTCGCCGGTCCTTCTTCTTGGGGATCAATGTGATTTTGGAGTTCTGAAATAATTTCTCATAGCTGCTAACGTGGTCTTTGTCCAGGGATCGGATCTCCTCGGCTCTCTGCTTCCTAAGGATTTCCTGCACAGCCAGTCTGCGTTTTCCCACAGCAGGTGGGCTTCCTGGGCACACAGTCCTGCATGACAGAGCAATGAATGGGCTGCCTAAGCTTGTGGTCACCTTCACCATGTGATCAAGGACCCCGTCTTCTTCTGGACCATGGAAAACCCGGAATGAGACAGCTGATCTCATGCACTCAGAAATCCTCTGCAAACAGGTCTTTGGCTCCGCAGCCTTGGCAAGGAGTTCCTTCATCTTTGGCCATTCTGGTTTGTATTGATCACATAACTGTTCTGGGCATGGTCTATCCATCAGCTTTTGCATGATGAAGGCAGATTCTGACCTTCCCGTATAACAAGCCCATTCCCACGAAGTCAGCCCACGGCTTGGGTCAGTCGAGTGAACATTTGCCCCTCAAGGAAAAGAAAAACAAACAGTTAATTAATGAAACTTCCCACACTTTCATATTCAATTTTGGTTTATATGTATCACTGGCAATGTAGATAACTTGAGTATATTGAAAAAGGTTTTAGCTAAAATATGAACAGGCTACAAGTTTTGGCTTCTTGATGGGCTTCTCTGCCAGCTGCAGCACCATTCTCAAACATCCAACACATAACTGACCTACACAGATCTCGGCATGAAAGAAAAGACATTATGTCACATTGCTTTGGGAGACAGAAGTGTGCAGAGACAGAAATATCATGATAAACTATTTTTCTCGGATTGGGCCGTGGATAGAAGGTGGCACCCTAAGCAAATAAGTTGATCTTGATTTAAATGTAGTTTAAGTGAAGTTTGAAATGACTGCTACAACAGAAAGCACTTCAAAGAGTCAAGTCTGACCCAGTCTGGAAGAAGGCAGAGAAGAGAAAGATGTAATGAAATCAGAGAGTTCATTAGCTGTGGAGACAAGAAAGGATTGTGAGAGCTCAAAGGCAGCTGGGTTTGAAGACATTCACTATAGCAGAAATGACAGAGAAACCAATGAGGGAAGGATAGAAAAAGGCACACAAAAACGTGTCCTTCCAGTTCACTAGCCTGTTTTTGAACCCACCCTACCCAAATTTCCTATTCCTGACTCTCTCCTTTCAGGCTAGCCACTTTTCCTGTTCCCTTCTTAACACTTGCCTGTGTCTGCACTCCTTCCCACTAGAGCTGCCTGGAAACATGGCAAACTATGTGGAAGAGGTTTCTTTGTTGTACACGTAACAGGCATAGATTTACTGAAGGAAAAATAGTAGCTAAAGGAACTGGGTCCAAATACATGTTTTAAGGAACAGTATGCTCTGGTTGTAAACAGGCAAGAGGTGAAGACAGCTGTTTACCATTATCTTCAAGAAAAATAAGTGCCAGCTCTGGTATGCTGCAGCTGTGGCACCCTGGATGAGTCCCAAACAAAAATGAGCTGTGTGAGAAAGTGCTGTGAGAAGTGTCACTGGGGGCTCCCTGTCTTTGCTTGGTGGCAGCATTCAAGCTCGGACTCTCAGCTCTTGCCTGAGCTGTGTTGCAGCTGTCTCTGGTCTTGTGCCTTGCTGGTCTGGCCCCTGACCTGCAGGCTTGGCTCCTGGTCTGATCTCAGGCTTTGACCCTATGGATTTGCCTCATCACCACAGGCCTGCCTGGCAGTCACAGCAGTACAGGCTGACCCTGGTTGTTGCCACCAGACCCACCCAATTTCTTAAAGAAGCACCTTTGTTGGTGAAGCTAGAGCCTCCTCTGTGTGCCTTGCCGTCACCCTTGGCTCACCTTCCTTTGAGGTGAGGCCCACACTTGCTGATCCCTGACAGATGTGTCCCCAGGCATTTTGGAAACTTTATGTAGGGAAACAATAGTACAGAGTATGGAAATCCTGATCTTTCAACAAAAATCAATGCTGACTTTGTAACTTGTATCACGAAATCTCTCTAAGGCGTGATTTACTACAGTGGTATTGATTTTCTGTACAAATCCAGAGGCGTTTCTAAACAAAGGTGTCACTCAACAGAACGTGTCACCTGCACGAAACGTGAATAGTCTTGTCCCTTTTTAAATATTAACTAGACAGCTACAGTTTCAGCTCTCCATCTCAGACCCCCCATCAGATCCGAGTGGGTTTCCTGATAGGCAGCCAGGCCCCTTTTGTTTGGCCTTGCTATGCCAAAGGGTCCAGGGAAAGGGAGAACTTAAAGATCAGCTCTGCGATTCCCTTCAGACAACACTCAGTGTGATTGTGGGGGCTTGAGCCCCCCTCTGTTCCCTCTGAAAGGATTGCGGTGGGCCTGGAAATGCCGAACACCACTGCATGTGCTTAAGAAGCATTGCTGGGCTTGCTCAGCAGGACAGGGGTAGAGCGGAGCAGGGCCTTCTCGGCACAGAGGCTCACACATGGTTAACTCAGAAGACCTGCCAGAAGCAGGGCTTTGGGTTAGGGAGCTCTTAGCTCCAGAATATTCCTCAGAATCAGGTCCCAAGACAGCACATGGCTTAGGAATAGGCATCAGACCAAAAAGAAGAAAGCAAAAGCACAGGACAGCTTTCCCAGGGGGGAGCGGAGTTTAATGACAGGGAGCGGGAGAGCTCAGAAAGACAGGCGTCTGTCACCGAGCTGCTTCACACACAGTATTTAAAGCCCAGTCGCTAGATCCACTTCCACTCCAGTGGCTTTACTAAAGCAGCACTCGGTGTACCCTGGAGAATGTGATGGGTCTCGTGTGGTGAGTTATGGCTGGCATTTCTGCGCTCCTGCCCGGGCTCTCTGGCTGGCTGCTGGCAGTGCTGCGGCCCTGGCGGTGCAGCAGCCTGTGACAAACTGCCCGCGAGCGAGCAGCTCGGGTCCTCTCTTACTCGCTTTGCATTCCCAAACAGCAAATCCACGTGTTTCAACAGTTTGCTTTGAAAGAGCAGACATTACGGCCAAGTGTCTCAGCACACCTTCGTCGTGTAGTGATTGACCTTGGCTACCCTCCAGGAGCACAAGTTTTGGGAAGAGCAGTCACTTTGAAAATCCAGCTCCAGCCATCTGTCACACTCTGCTGCTGCCTCTGCTCCGTCTGACTGTTAAATCCCACTTAGGCAGCTGGAAAGGTGAGTTATTTTTCTTTACTGACCTCCTGCATGGCCCTAAGTAGGTGCCAGAAAACAGAGATTTTACCCAAGCCATTAAGCAGATACTGGGGTTAAAAACTGCCTGATTCTCTTTTCTTTTTCTCAAGACACATACTTGTTTTTGTGTCTGTACAACAGGCATAGGTTCTGCAATAGGCCCGTGGCTGATTATGGGTGTTTTCCCCCTATATTTCCAACTATTCTTACCTTTTAACATAGAATTTAACTAGAACCTGAGGGGTTGTTTTATTTGTGAAACTGATTTTTCCCCAAATCTTTCAGTAATGATTTATTTCACCTTTTTCAGCAACCTAGCACTTTATTGCTGGCAGTCACTCAGTTCCCTTCAGCCCTAAACTGAGTCTAAATCCATTCTGAATGAGCTGCTCCCTCCCTACATTTCTCCAGACTATACAATGCTAAACAGTAATTGGATATTAAAAGGGGTGCAGGCAATTTGCCATATTTCCTTTGTGGCCCCAATTTTAAGCTGAAAATGTATGAACGCACAAAATACTCACTTAAACATGTAAGTAAACTGCACTATAGAAATTTGGAGTATATTAATCCTTTACTCTTTAGCCAATGTATCTATCCTCACTATTCCTAATGAACAAACAGCCCAATATAACTTTCTGTAGGTAAATCTGATAGGAGGCTAACAAACCTGGCTAGCTGAAAGTTTGTTCTTCCCACTTTTCTGTTTGCTTAAGTAACATGAAAAAGAGAAGGTGGCTATCCAGATGACAGAGTCAGCAACCATACATTCAACTTTGATACTGATACTTCTTGTACAAGAAATCTAATAACTGGGACTGAGTTCTATAAAAAATTGAAAGGTTGTAAAATAGCTTCTAGTGACCAAAACAGAAGGAACAAGTTTCCATCAGATCTCCAGTGATAGTAATAGAAAGCCATGACACTGTCAGGTCAATTTGATAAGTTTTAAGGTCTGGTGACTGAAGTTTCATTTTAAGTGATAACTTATAGCAGCCACTGGAAAATTCTGAACTAGCATCTGCACAAAGCAGATATTAGTCCAGAAACTGCATCTGTGTCTAGCAGTGCTCTAGTTCTAAAAGTAATTTTATAACTTTTATTCATAAAAATTTAACTCCAAAGTGACTGATCTGACTCTGAAACCTTGATTCCAGTGTAAGAAGCTAGAGGATCTTGCAGAAAATAATGTCAGTTACCATATCATTCAAGCATTTTCTGTGCCATATCAACATCTGTAAACTGGATATTATGAAAATGGATGAAAGTAATACCACTATGCTTGACAAATGCCTTCTACCTAAAACACTCAAATTATGAAGGGTTAGACTTCTGTGACAGCAAAACAGCTAAAATAAACCACCCATTCAACATCTCAGTCTACAATGAAATCGACCTGTAGGATTTTTGGTCTAAATAGCAATGATGTTCATGTTATCTATTATCATGTCCATAAAATTTGATTTGTGCCAAATACCTGCAATTGTAATAAAATAAAGTATACCAAAACACTTCCATACTCATGAACTAATAATTTATATATTAATAACACAACAAAAGCATCCAATATGGTGGCTAAAGGGTACTGTACAGCCCTGCCAGGGGTCTGGTACTGCTCCTGTAGGGGGTGTTGGCCCAATGTCTCTGACCCTTCCAGGTTTCTTCTCCAGGAGCTCTTCACTTCACCCCGACTACAGCTGGAAATTCAGCTGCAAAGTCCAGGGCCAATGACAAGAAACGTATTTCCTGTTCCCAGATGCAAAGAGGCAGGTGGGCAGAGATGGACCTCCTCACTCTCTGTGCTGTGATTCCTTACCTGCAGCTGGTACAGACTTGCTGGTATCATTACTCATAAAACTTGAGACCCAACTCAGATCTGTAGAGGGGCTAGAAAGAGAGTTTTCTCCCTGTATTGCCAGATTTCCCATTTTTTTCCCATCCCTGGTGGGGTATGAACCCTGCACCCAAATCTCCCTACTCCACAGCTGGAGGGAGAGGTGTAGGTCTGGCCACGAGGCCCCATGGTGACACTACCATCACACCCACAGCAGCTGGCAGCAAGAGATCTGCATGTCTTTCCCAGGTGTGTCACAAATTTCATTAGCTCACCATCTACAAATCTCAGCGATCACATTCCCTGACCTGTCCTGGAGACAATAAATCTGGCACCAAGAGCACCTGGAGAGTTCACGGATGAGGGTTCACAGACAAGCAGAGCTCTCTTCCACCTGCAGCATGTGGCTTCACCTCCTGGTCTACAGTTTCATTAAAGTCTGCACCCATTTCCAGGAAAGGCTGCACCACACCTCTCAGAAAAACACATCAAGAGGCAATTTTTGTTGTTGTGTGACTGTCTAGTATTTACAGGTAGATGATGAAGAAGAAGCAGCAAAGTGCTTTGCATACCTGCCAACATCAAGGCTTTCACACATTCTGTTCGTCCCTGCATTGCAGATTTCATCAGTGCTGTGAATCCGAACACGTTCCTCTTCTCAATGTCAAGCCCGGGAAAATAGTTCAGCAAGTAGTTTGTAATGGTTATGTGCCCTTTAAAGAAATGAAAAATAACAGAGAAAATCCACCACAGAATTAAGAGGCAGTCTCAAGGCAAAACCAAAAATCAATCCTGCAGGTTTGGAAACTTTAAAAATTAAGGCAATTAATGAGATCTGTTTTCCTTGTGTCCTTTTCTGATCATTGCAGTCACTAGCTTTAGCATTAGATGGCACTGTCTTGTGGCAAGAGTGTTGGGATAGGAGCGTAGAAACCTGGGCTCCCACCTTCCCTCAAATTGCTCTCCGTGGGGGGTCCTTCTCTCTACAAATCATTCTGAGGTAAAGGAATGGTTAAAGGCCAGAAGTCGTCACTTTGAGATTGCAAGGGGCCTCCGTTTCTTGAATCAATGGGTAGTACTGCCTGTCCCCTGGGAAAGTGGTTGCAAAGATTCAGCGTTTTCACTCCTCTGGCAAATTTGAGCCTTTCCTTCACAGTGCTCCATTAAGATGCAATCACTTGTGGTGGTTCCTGCCAACACTACTAACAAACCATTACGGGCCTGATATGAGACAAAGAAATACATTGCTTTGTGTCCCACACATTTTTTTTTGTCATGTGCCTCGTGAGCCCAGATAACTGGTGTCAGCAAGGGTGTAGCAAGTAGTTGTAGGTGTCTCTGGCTAGATGGTGGGAAGACCAATTAAAACATCAAGCCGTTATAATTGGACTATCAGAACAGGAAAAAATATCTAGTGCCATTATGAGTCATCCAAACCAGCTTTTCCCTCACTTGTCATTCATTTTATGATGCTTTGATGCTTTATAAAATAATGCAGGCTGTCAGGCAGCTGCAACAATCACAATTTAATTACTAGGAGCTGTAAAAATATTCTCTCATCTCACTCTGCAGTCCAGCTGAATATTCTGTGATGCATGTCACTCAAATTCATCTACAAATGTAACTGAAGCAGATTATAATTCATACGGGATGATTTTTAAAGTCTGTGGTATCACACCTGGTGCAGAATTCATCAGCCATTGCTTTGTTCCAGCACAGTCCTGCACTCTGGAAAGCAAGTTAAGAAAACCTTTACCAATTAATTTATTTCCTAGGCGTTGCTCTTGGTCTCCTAGAATTTGCTGGACCCTGCTACCTTGCTGCATAGCTGGAAACTGCTGAAACTTGAGCATGTGTGGAGATAACACATATCAGTTTAACAATGACAGAGTCAGGGAAAATCAGGTGAAGATCTCCCAGTTTGATGCAAATGAAACATAAAGATACAGCAAACTGAGCAAAGCAAAAGTGATCTGGGTTCTTGACAGGATCAAGTGACCCAGTCCTGCTTACTCAACACAGAGGCTTCAGCTTCATTGACTTTATGGCGTGAGACCAAATCCTGACACGATATCAGTTACTACCGGGAGAATCTTTGTTCCCTCACTGTTTTGCAGGACATGCTGTATTTTGTCCACGTACAGCGTGCTTCAGGATGGTTTTGGAACAGCTGAAATAATGTTTTTCAACCACAAAAATCAGAGACAGGAACTGAAACAAGGAGAAATAATAAAAAAAGGAAGATTTTTCAGCACTTATTACATTATTAAAGATGTTCTTCCCTTTGCCAAAACCATAGCTGCATTAAGAGATGTTTTGCAAATCTAGGGTGATCCCTGAGAGTCAATCCTGAGAGGCCTTGTTCATGCAAAACTCTCCAGGGGACTACAGATGGCCTCATATGATATGGAGAGAATAAAAAACAAAACCCAGCAATAAAATACCAAAAAAAAAAAAAAAAAGAAAAAAAAAAAAAAGAGAGATAGAGAGAAAGAGAAAGGGAAAGAGAAAGGGAAAAAAGAGGTTTGTGATTCTCAGAAGTTTCATGTCACGAGGATTCCTGAAAACCGTTTCAGTTTCAATCTGCAGAAGTCTCTGTCCTCTGAGGTTTGCTTCAAATTTCAAGTTCAAACAAATATCAAATTCAAAGCAAAACTCAGAGCTGCCAAGTTCTTGTTCAAACTGTGTCATATGCTTTTGATTTAAGGCCACAACGTTTGCTTCAGTTCTCCTGCATTTGCAGGAACCAAAAGCGCTTATCTAAATCGTAAACCAGGTGAGCCTTCAATGATTTAAAGCCTGCTCTGAAAGCTGTTTGCAGCTCTAAAATAAATGAGCGTGGCCTCAGCCGGTCCGGTCGTACTGAATTCGGATCAGGCTCCTGCTGTCTGCCAGCCTGATCTACCCCCTGGCAGAACCGGTGTGCTAAGGGCACAGTTCTTTGCCCTGCGAGACACATTTAGGGATCAGCACAGATGTCTGTAATGGCTTAAATCGCTTAATTGCTGCCAAAGAAGAAATGCATATAATGAATACAATGCTACCTAATAATCTGTGTAATACAGGCAGAAGGATAATCTGCGTAGTGAGGAAGACGCTCTGTCACAGACTGTGTGTGGTCTCTGAGCAGTGAATGCTTTCTGGGGGATAGATGGAACCCAATCTTTTATGATCTGTGTGCTTTAGGTGGTTGTGTTCTCATGTCTTTGTTAATGAAAAGAGATTGGGTTACTTTGTGATTTTGTGTTTGAAGAGCTGCAGCCTGCCCCAAACTGGTTCTTGTATCATATAACAGCTATACTTTAAAAGGGAGCAAATAAACCCCTCTCTGTAAATACCAGTACATACCAATTACCATAGGTTGCCACTGATGTAACTATGTCCTCATGAACAGAGACTGAGAATCAGCAGATTCTAATTAATGTAATTTCCTTTTTTTTTTTTTTTTTGTGACCACTTCCCTTCCTTCCTCTCTTTCCACTTCTTGTTATTCTGTTCACTTATTTGCATCAATCTCCCATTTTTTCCATGCTGCCACGAGGTGACTTTGCGTCTGCTTTAGCACCCATTTCTGGGCACCATCCCCTGCAGGCTGCAACAAAATTTGAAGGGCAAGCTCCCTTTGAGAAAGCATCCCATGTCTGTAAGAAATACTGAGAAGAGCAAGCAAGCAGACTGAGTTTCTAAACTGAAATTGACACGTGAAGTTAAGTGCTTTGTTTGTGGTTATTTTTCTGTACTAATCAGCTTATTAAGAACCTACTGCTTTCCACTGATCCCTCCAGACTGCTTTTTTTCAGGTCAGCCCATGCAGAAGACCTTCAGTTTAAGATTGGTTCTTTGAAAGATGTGAATCTGAAGTCATCAAAAGCAGATGGGTATAAGGAGCTGAATTCAATTATCTTCTGAGACTTCAGCTGGTCTTTAAAATAATTCTGTTAGCGTCAATCTGCCATCTAGGTTGGAGCAGCATGTCTAGGCAGCCACGAACCTGCATAAGCAAGTGTGGATTTTAAACTCCTCTGGCGAAAGTCAAGAGGCTTCCCTGCTGTCTCCCCACTACCTGTGCCCTCTTGTGCAGATGCAGCCCCTGAAGCCCACAGAAGAATCCCACAGGACCGTGGCCTCTTCCCACCCCAAAGCTGCTTTCTGGGGCCAGACCGTCAGTGATGGGCCAGCTGAGAAGAGCATCATAACAAAACCAGAAGTGCTCTCTGAAAACACCTGATATCATCTTGCAATTAACTGAAAGAATGGGGGTTTGCTACTAGACTTTCCACAAGAAAAACAAACAAACAAAAAAATTATTTTTGTCACAAATAGCAGTGATCTCTGTGAATAATTTATTTTGCAGAAATATTAGTATTTCCATGGCCTATGAGTAAAAATTGAATAAACCCACCACTAAAGGACAGATCGTACAGACTTTGCCTTCGGTTCTTTACAACACACTGCTCGGTGTTAATACTTAAGGCTCAGCAGTAATTAAGCAGCATCTAGCACGCGGCAGCTCCTCTGATTGCAACGTTAACCACATGGTAATCTGTACTAATGCTACAGCAGTATCTTGTGATAATGAATGAAATAACTGGTGTCAACGCCAGAGCTGGGGATTATTGCAGGCGGGGGAAAACATCCCAGTTGTTAGGAGTTTGCATAAGCTTCTGCTGACTGCAGTTGTTTCCAGTTGCGTTGGGAATCAATAGCAAGTGCTGGCAGGCAGAGTCAGGTCAATGTCAGCCCCCTGGATTAATTCTGAGCTTATTAGCATGAGTTATAAGGGTCAGGAAGGAGTCGGTATTAATGTTAAACCTTTTATAGTCCAGATTCATGTTAGGCAGCCAAATAGAAGTAGACGAGAGTTTTGGAGACTTCTCTGCTTTCTTTAGAGAAGTGCTATAGCCATGGCTTTGCCAGAAACGTGACAACTCTGGTTGTTATTATTTCCTCCAGTGTTTAAGACCTGTCTCATAGTGACATCTTCAGCACTGTTCACTTTTTGGTACAACACAGAGCAAAGTTCAGTTACTAAGTGGAAATTCTTAGTGGCGATATTACTGAGTTAAAATCAAACCCTAAGCACTCCAATCTTGTAATGTCCACTGGCGCTGTCTGACAGAAATTTGTTTCCTCCTTCCAGCCAGAGAAGAACAGGCAGGCTCTGGGAGGGAATGCTACTTCCAATGATCTCCCAGATTCTTCATCTGTGAGAAGAAATGGTAAAGACTCGGTGTGCAGTCCTTACAAAGTGCCTTTGAGGAGCACACTTGAGTGAAGGAAAGGAACCCGTGGACACAGAGCCAGGCAGGCCCAGGGGATAGCTTTCAGACTACAAAGGGATAGCCCCCGCGCTCAGATTTTTCCTAATCCATATGCTTCAGCGTTTTGTTACCACTTGGAAAAGAAAGCTCTAGCTTTTCCAAGTGGTAACAAAAAAGCTGAAAGGCTTAACATTCATTGTCGCAGTTTTAACAGAGATAATCGGCAGATTGCTTTGTGTATGTGCACTTAGAGCCGGTACTGCTTTAGGGAGCACCCCCTGCACGTATGCGATCTGTTACACTTGCTGACACAATATCACCACGCTGGGTGGGATAAAAGACAGCCTGGAGACAAGCTCTGCTCTCACTCCAGTCTGCATCAGGATTAACACGGCTGATGTCAATACAGCCGGTCTGTGATAGAATCAGCACTGGTCGACACTGAGTCCTGCTGAGGCTGTATAAGAAGGGCTTTTTGCTTCTTACTATGGACTAGTTGAAGAGAAAAAAATACTGGAAATAATAGTCACAACACACGTTTCTCCTAAGACCCTGTACAAGAGGCGAGGCAAAGAACCTTACCTGCCTGCGCAGCTGTGATGAGGGCCGTGTTCCCCTCGTTGTCCTGCCAGTTCACATCAAGGTGAGGGCATTGTGATAAGGCTATTACAATATCCACATACCCCTGGTAACAGGCAACGATAAGACCATTCTGTAAGCAAAGCATAAAGAGAGAGATAGGTTTACTGGGCTCAGAAAAGTTCATTGAGAAATCAGCATAGCAGTCTGTTTTTTTTTTTTTTTTTTTTTTCCTTTTTTTTTTTTTTCTTTTTTTTTAAGCTGAAGAAATGAACAGGTATCAGCATAACTAGTCATCAGCTCCAGGCGCAATGTTCAGATCCAAAACACTGCTTTTTATCTCTTCCCTTTGGCAAGTGACACTTGTCATTCCTCAGAAATACCTCCGAGAGTAGGTGTTATATTGTACCACTTGGAAAGTAACTGTTTGTAAGTATCGCATGCTCATACGGCTATATACTCTGTATCCAAATGAGAATAAATCAGGTTTTATTGTATAATAAAATGAACCAGGCAGGTAAGATGAATTCTACCCAACCTGAATATTAATCCTCTGAAAAACAAATGCTTGTTCTCTGAAGGGAAAGTGATAGGGAGGAGCCATGTGTTCGTGCTGCCTGTTGCTGTCCTTAAATGTTTGGGGTTTCCCATTAGAACCTGACATTTTTGATGAGCACAAATAACATAAAATTGGGGTTAGAGTTCCTGTTTCATGTGCTTTATGACAACTGTAAAACTTCCAGGAGAAGCCAAGCCAGGAAGCGAGCCTTATAACTCAGCATGGTGCATTGCTCAGCTAGCATTTCACTCCAAGGCAATGAACTGAGAGCTTCTCTAAAATGTATCAAGACACACTCGTCATTAATTACATGGAACTACAGTACGTAATCCTGATTCCTTGCTTGACCACGGGGATTAAATCCATTATCCCCAGTCGTCAGGATGACTCAGTAGCCCAGCATTCACCTGCCTGGGGCTGATGGGTGCAGAGACGGGTGCTTGCAGATGCACCAAAGCTTCCTGCGATCCCTCTGCATGGCCAACACGTGGTTCAGTTCTCTCCAGATCAGCACCAGCATCTGGCTATTGAAAGGACAAGAGAAGTGACACACATCTCAGCCTCTCTGGTGACCTTGCCTGCCAAAAATGCACTCATGCAGACTCACTACCAATTCACAACCACAAATGAGCAGCAGGAAATAGAATTTGATGAAAAAGAAAAGAAATGCAACAAAACAAAAACCACTAAAACCTTTATAAGTATAAAAACTGCATGGTCCAGCTTGACTCCCTCACATTTTTTCTAAGTTGCTCTTGCCTCAATGCTCTTTTTTTTTCTTTTCCCTGTGGACACTGCTGAGGCAGAGACATTCACCAAATGACCACAGCTGCGTCTTCTGATCTATTACCATGATAACCAGGTATTAATATTTCAGTGTCCTGCCTCATTGTTATTCTGGATGGTCTTTTTGGTTTAGTTGGCTATCAGCTTCATTAAGATACAGAGGCAATGCCAGGTCTTTGGGGTACTCATGGGCTATGTACGATATTTTGCAATTGCATCGTTGGGTAAGATCATTACTTTAAAAGATTTCTTTTGTTGGGGACTGTTCAGATTCATCCAAGTTTTGCTACAATGTAATCACTCTCAGCTTTAAAGAAAGAAAACTGTGTCACTGACAACTTGGTAAGGACTAGAACATTATTTTAGTTTCTAGTAATTTCATTTTTCACCTAACGTTTGGGATATAGGTCTTTACAAGTCCAAAAACTCTGCAGATATAAAACACCACTCAGTCATTCAGAAGAATGACAATGACCAATGTATCAGAAAACTCAGCATACAATAATTTGGAGGCCTAAAATTCTTGACAATAAAAGGGGGATCCTAATGTTTAATGAACAATTCTTGAAGAGACTTGTATTTACAGCAAAGTTGTGTGGATTATTTAGAGTAGATATGTAGATGTTGTCTCTAAGGGAATAATGTGTTTCATGCAGTGTCTGAGATGTATTTTCACAAATATTTTAACAGAATTTTGTGTTCCAAAATTATTTACCAGATGCTAAGGAAAAAAAAAAAAAGGCTCATTTATTGTTCTTTTAAAAAGTGAAGCAAGCAGTAAGACAAGAAAAAAATGACAAGCATTAGTTCTTTTTGCAAGCAAGCTTTGGCATTACAGTATGTAGGGACCATTTGCTGACTTTTGGTGGGCATTTCCAACAAACAGAGCATTAACGACATGCCCAATACATCCCAACATTCTGATTTCAGGAGATATGAGGCACAAATTATCTCAGAATAAATCAGTCTCATTCACCATTTGAATTTACAAAATGAGGAGATTAGTTAGATATCAACATTTTCTAAACTCAGTTTTCCAAAGATTCTATCAAAGACTGCCTGCTTAAGGAAAAAGGAAGACAATGAAGAGCGGAGCTTGCTGGGGGATGATATGGTGCAGCAACAGGGAAAATCACTTCTGAGGCACAGTCGTGAGAAATCTGAAGTGGCTTGGGTAGGAATACAACAACCCAGCATTTGACAGTGAATAACCCGTGTCCCCTGGCAGCAAGATGAGACCCTAAAACTCATTTACAGTGCCACATGCTTCCCAGCACTGTCCAGGGCTGTAAAGATGATGTGAGTTCCCCCCTGGGTCATGGCACAGTCGAGAGATGGTATGCTGCAGGACTGCCCTCCTTGGCCTAGCACTCAGGATTGCCTTAGGTATGAAGGGAGTCACAGGAGGCTGCAGCTTTAGAATGAAATCTGTAATAAACCCTCATATTTGCTGTTATTTCCCCAAACCTGCTTCAATAACACCATGACAACTTGTGGTTTCAGGTTGTTCTTTTTCCCCCTTTTTTCCTCCCTGCATCCATTTCTTGCCCTGCCTGCACTGTGCTTGCTGAAAGTTACTAAAGCGGATTAGCCAGCACACACAATCAGTGCATCACGTTTCTAACTTCCTCTACCAAATATCCACCACCATAATATGTTTTAAGCTCATTCAAAAAATCTCAATTAATAGTTACGACTGATATGACACTGTCTTCAGCAAACGGCTTTTTGAAGCAGTCAGTAAAGCAGTAGCCTGTATCTTAGCAGTCTGCAATAAAATGCGGCTGAGTGCTCAATGTTTTTCAGAAGATAAACATAAAGCAGTATAAACTAATTTTATCTAGAAAATTCTGAACCTGAGTCATCTGGTTATCCTCACAAAAGATATGACACTTCACCTCATTAATATTCTACCAAAGCATCAATTATTCTGCTCCACATATGAATGGTCTTAGGGCAGCTGTGAAATGGTCAGTGTGTGTGCTTTGCGAGAAGAAAGATTGATAATACCTAGGACATGGTTTAGTGGGTGACGTTGGTAGTAGAGTGATGGTTGGACCAGATGATCTTGGAGGTTTTTTCCAACCTCAATAATTCTGTGACTCTGTGATAATAATCATGAATGACTTGAAGGAATAGCTATGGTGTGTCACACCAGGCAAGCACAGTATTCCTGCTTTCCAAGGGCTGTTTTTTGGCTGAGACCTCTTCTCTCCCGGTCAGCAGCCAGGGTTGCTGCCTGTCATTCCCCAAGACCAATGAAACACGACAGGCAAAAAATCTGCTTCAATTCTCCTTGCAGAAGAAGAGCTGAGGAGACCATAAATGCGAAAAAGCATTGCTGCCTCTGGACTGTAAGAAAGGTGATTTCTTCATTAAAGGAGACTGGGGCTGCTGGCTTCCCTGGGCTGTGCAAGAGATACTATTTCATCTTCAGATATCACATGCAGACTCCATGTGACGAACAAGAAAGTATGAGGCATCCATCACATCATTTATGTTAAAATTTACTGCAGATTGTTTCACAGAAAGGGTGTGTGTGTGTGTGTGTGTGACATTGAGCTCAGTAAGAGTTTGGTGTTTTTTTTCTGTTTTGTTTTGTTTTGTTTTGTTTTGTTTTCGTTTTTCCCAACTACACATGATGATACTGCCAGGTGTGGAGGGCTTTGTATTTCTTCTGTGGAATATGTAGCACTACACAGAGCTGCCCCACAGTTTTTCTATACTTTATGACATATTTATTTTTATTTAACAAACATTTTTGTTTTGAAGTGACAGAGCAAAATTAACAGTATTTTATTTAAAATGTATAGCAAAGTAGTCAACCTGAGATAAATGACTGTTTTTCCATATATTCTGAATGAAGTATTGCTAGGTTGATACTTAAATGGACAATTTCAGGCATGAGGCTACTTAAAGTTAACCAGATGTTGCAACATCTTCCTTGAGCCATGTTCAAGAAGATTCACAATGTTGTTCTGTAACTGGAATAAATGTATTCTATTAAAATCTTTCATAGAAGCATAAACTTGAAATAGAACAAAATAGTCTTGGGAAACTTGTGATTCCTCTTAAACTGACATTTCTTCATGTGCCTTTGATTTCATGTAAGGCTGGAATAATGCTGCCACTACAAAAACAGTCTGTTTTGCTCAGCTCTGTTGGCTAACGATACAGGAATGTGTCTGATTAAGTGAGACCGTCGATATCTCAGGAGACAGTTTTATAAATCAGATTTTATGACAAAATTACAGATGTAATGCTATTTGTAAACTAGATAATTATGGATAATAGAGATTAAAAAAAAAAAAAAAAGTACTAGAGGATCAATAAAGAACTCAGGCTGAGCATCAGAGCAAATCACATACCACACACAATTATTTTAGCTTTTAAAAAAATCTCTTCAGGCAACGTATTTTCCACCAAGATGTTGAAAATGAGAACAGATTATTATAGCTTTTTGCTTATTATCCCAAACAGAAATTTAGTCTGGCAGAAGATTCATTTGACACTACTCTCATCTTTTTATAAACATCGGGATAAACAACTGTCCACTTTGCTTTGCATACAGTCTGTATGGTATTAATGACAATTCTGCAAGGTTGGTTTAACAGCAATGATTAAACCAGCCTGTAATTCAATTAAATGAGATAATGATTCACTGCAATCCATAATCATATGCAGGGAGAACTATAAAAATTATGTCTAAGTTAAAAGCATATTACACAAACTATATGGTGAGTAACAGAAAAGGAAGATCAATAAAACACAAAGGAATAAAAAGCTGG